GACACACGCCTGAAAAACACGACTGTCGGCATGCTTCGCAAGAGTTGCTGTTGTGAGATGGGCTGGTGGGGATACGCGAAGCGTCAAGAATTATTGAAATTACCATGTGTTTTTGAAGGTTTTATGTTAAAATGTTGAAATTCCCATGTATTGTTGGACCCTGTCGTCACGATCTGCGCGAGGGGTGCCACCGATTTTCAGAATTTCGAGGATGTCCCGAGCGAAACGGCCAGAAAAATCGCGGACGACGTGCGCATGAATCGCCTCTGAGCTCTACTCCCTCCGAGAGGTGCGTATGAGAATATATATATATATATATATATATATATATATATATATATATATACATCTGTTCTTCCGAGGAACCCTTTATCCTCAGTGGCCAGACCGAAGGTTTGATCTGTGTGCTTACTGGTGCCCAGAGCTCTAGACGAGAGGATGCAATCGGGCGCCAGTCCTCGAGACCGACGCCAGTCAGCACAACACCTCGCGTAGATTTTGCTCCGCGGGTGGGCTCGGGGGGGAGCTTGAGCACAATCGGTAGCGGGCGTGCAGTGACGCGCGGCCCCTTGTCCTCAAGGCACTCTCAGAAAAGATTCACATGCACGCATTGCCATCTGTTCTTCCGAGGAGCCCTTTATCCTCAGTGGCCAGACCGAAGGTTTGATCTGTGTGCTTACTGGTGCCCAGAGCTCTAGACGAGAGGATGCAATCGGGCGCCAGTCCTCGAGACCGACGCCAGTCAGCACAACACCACAAAATCGGAGACCTCCGAAACCATATGTCTGGAGACTCGACTTAAAGGCGAGGGGCCACTTTATTAAACATCCCCCGAAACACATGGTTCCGATGAGCATTGAGAAGCGCACGAGAGATATGTACGCACAGGTCACTTGGGTACGGTTCGGCGATAGCCGTGAGAAAACGGCCGGCTTTATCTTTGCCGGCGAGTTCAGTGTGGGGCCTACCTGAGAAAGAGCAAATACCTTTACTACAGCACTTGAAAGGACGCAGACATGACAAATCAGCATTAGCATAAAGGATCGCGGTGCGCTTTCGCCACGGAGTGCCGAAGGCGCAGAAGTCTATGGACAGGCGCTGGACCCCGGGCCGTTTTGAGACTCTTTCAGCCACAGGCTGCTTCCAGAGCCAGGAGGACCCCGGGTTTTCCAGGCCGACAGGGATCCCAAGGGACAGCGCCAACTCAAAAACACTAAAACTGAACGCACATAGCCTATTTCCTTGCAAAACTTTCAAGGCATCACTCGGTGACAATCCAGGAAGGCCTTGAGGGTGTGAGCTACTCCTGAGCGGAGGGGGGCCATTCGGTCGGTTGCGAGCGAGCGACATCGACTGACAAGGCGTGCCCAACCACACAGCTGCCACAAGGCCTGATCGAAGCCATCCACGAACGAGCTGCTGAACTCGGCGCTGCAGAAGGTCTGCGGCCGGGTCATGCTTGAGGTCCAGCTCAAAGGCGGCCAAGCGGCCGCGGGAGACACGCCGCCACGACAGCGAGAGGCGCCCTGACCCGCTGAACACTTCCAGGAACACGGGTTGGCCGACGACCTCTACATGCCGAGCCAGACCTTGGAGAGGCGCCCGCCAATGATGCCGACCAGGCGCGTGGCACGGCGCTGCTCGGAGATCGGGAGCCGTCGCAACTGCTCTGCCACGCGGCCCCCTTTGGTGTAGCGCCGCAGGGACGAGTCCGACACCCACCTCCCCCTCTTTTTGATCTCGTCGAGGCTCCTGAACTTTGCGAGGTATTCGTGGGAGGCCCCCCCGTGCCGGAGGGTGTAGAGCGTCGGGGGCCCCAGGACGCCGAGGTGCAGCGCTGTCGCAGCTCGCCTGAAGACCAGGGCCCACTGGTTGTAGCTCATGTCGAAGACGCGGCCGCCGGGCGCGGCACGGGCCCGCAGCGCCTGCAGCAGCGGTGGCAGCCAGGTGAACTCCGGGCTGTCCAGGAGGAGACCCTCGTCGTAGACCCCCGTCTTCGAAGGCTGGGCGCACTCCATCGGGTGCAGAACCACCGACCAGAAGTTCAGGAAGGTTCGCCCCGGAGGGGCGCCCTCGGCAGGCGGGACCACCTGCTCGCGCGTCAGGCTGAGCAACTCGGCCGGCCGAAGGTACAGCGCGAAGCAGACGGCCGTCGCCGCCGCCGCTGTTGTTTCGCCCGCATCCAGCATCCAGTCGATCATCAGGCAGGCAATCGGCCAGGGCAGTGGCAGTCGGGACCGAGGCGGTACCAGCCGAGCCCAGCCCTTCGCAGCACGAGCGGCCCTCGGGAAGGCCACCTGTAGCCGTCCGGGCGCCGCGCGGCAATGAGCCAGAGCCGCCATGTACTTCGTCGCTTCCTCGCTCGGGTAGCCGTCGAAGAACAGCTGGTTGAAGAAGGTCACCAGGGCGATGTCCAGCTCGGGCACATCCTCGATCGGCAGCCGGGCCGAGGTCGCCCACCTCGTGAACTTCGAGACCCTGTCGGCATAGTCCCGGCGGGTCGCCTCCCCCACGGCCTGCGTCTCCAGGAAGGTCAGCGAGCCCGAGGACGCCGTCGTGTTGGCGGCGGGGAAGGCGCGCCTCCCGGCGACTTGGCGGTCCGCCTGGTTCCCCCAGGCCAGCGCAGCTGCGCCCTGGGAGCGGCTCCGGCGCCCAAGGCGGGTGGGCGCTGGGGCTGCTGGAGCCGCCGCGGGCCGCCTGCGGAGGGCGCCCGGCGGGCTGGCAGCAGACGCTCTCTGGGGCGACGACCGCCGGAGCATACCACGCCTCGGGCCTAGCACCAGGCCGATTCCGTGAAGCTGGGTCGGCAGAGTTGAACTCGGACGGCAGCCACCTCCAGTAAGCCGCCGAGCCTGAGGCCAGCAGCAGACATGCCACCTGTCGGCAGACGGCGAGGAGGGCGGGCGCCGAAGACCGCCCCTTTGCCAGAGCCAAGATGGGGGCCATGGCATCGTTCAGCATAACGTGAGCCTTCCGAAAGGACCTCTTGGAGCGAAGCTTGTGCTTAAGCGCCATCACGCCTGACCTGGCCTCCAGGATGACCTGAGGGGCTGGGCGCCGCCAGGGCACCGAGAGGACCGGGTGCCAGTGGTCCCTCCAGATGTCGGGCGGGACCTCCTCGAAGCTGGGGACCGCGTCGGAGACCACGGGACCGTCCGGGACGGCCCCAGAGGAGCCTTGACCAGAGACAGCAGCGGCTCGGGGCCCAAGGCGTTGGCGCTCAGCTTCTCGAGAGAACCTCCAACGCTCGTTGTACCGGGCCAGACGCTTGACCGAGTCCTCAGAGACCTCCCGCTGGGTAACTCCAAAACCCCAAGACGATGCATCCAGGCATGTGAGGGTGGTGTCGAAGGGCAGCCCGAGGTCCCTGCTGCAGAAGATGAGGAGAGCCCGGGCCCAGCGTAGTTCACGACGGACGACGGGCCAGAGCTTAGCGGTGCGATTGTGGTAGACCTCCCCAAACTTGTAGACGGCCCCCAGGCACGAGAGGAGCTCCCTCCTAATGAGCACCCTGGACGTGATGTGCGAGACGATCCTCACCATCTCCTTTCCAGAACAGAACCCACGTCGGAGGACCTCCTGAATCCCAAGGTACAGCTTCCACCTAAGTCTGGGGTTGAGCGAGATCACGGGCGAGTTCGAGTCGAAGGACCAGCCAAGAGTCTCCCCGCCCACTCCGCTCTCCACCCCGTGAGTAGGCAGTCCCACAGCACGCATATGATGATCGACCTGACGGGCGGCAGCGATAGCAGAGGGCTCCGAAAGCGACAGCGCAACGAAGTTGTCGACGTATTCGGCATGAACAACTCCCGAGTCGACGACAGGGGCAGGCTGGCGATCCACTAGGACCCGCTCCGGCCTGACGAGGCCAGCACGCTGCGAGACGATCTCGTTCACCGACTGGCACAACCAAAGACTGAGACTGAAGCCCATCGGAGGACACCTGAAGCACGGATAGACCCACTGAGTAGGGGTCACGGGCCGCCCATTCGCATCGACCGAGACTCCCAGCTCGCCAGCCCTGATCTTGGGGAGTCCGAAGTACCGACAAAGCCAGGGTGGGAGCAACATGGTATAGAAGGCATCCGCGATGTCCACACCAGCAACACACACAGGCTCCCGACTGTCAACCCTGAGCTGAGAGAAAGCGGCCCCAGTTGCCAGCTTCACTTTTGGGGGCTCGTCGAACAATTGGGATGGGATCCGTCCATCCAGTATGAGCCTCAGGGCCCCGGATTTCTTATAGACGAAGAACATTCCCACTGAACTCAACGCTTCGGTATGAAACTCAACGAGGTGCGATGACACAAGACGGTGCAATACTTTCTTATACAAACGAGGGTTCCTAAAGTTAGGATCCGAATACGCCCTCCTCGGAGCGCGCTCCGCGACCCGGGCAAGCCCCCGCTCACGGGGCAAGAGTAGTTCTTGAAGGCGATGACCAATACTCATGCTGTCGTCCCCGATGAGCGCAGACAAGGGCTTCGGCTCGGAGCCCACGCTCGGCAGGGAGATCAGATCGACGCGGTCGAAGGTCACCGGCGCAATCACGGCGGACTCCTGGTCGTATGACTGCGCGACGCGGAGCTCCTCGAGGGCTCCTGCGGGAGTGAGGTCGGGCGGGGGTACTCCGAAGGCGTCGACGGCCTCCTGGATCACCGCCAGAGCCTCCTGCTGGGCGGTCGTGGGGCCAGTGAGACCAGTGGCCCGCGGACAGCTCGAACCAGTGTACATCTCATTCATGGCGCGGATGGCGTCGACGACCATCGCGCGGCGGTGACTGGTCCTGTGGAGTCGCCTCTTAGTAGTGCGAGAGAGGTCTGCAGCCACAAAACTACGCTCGTCACCGGCGGGCACAGGGAGCGGAAAGAGATCCCGATGTCGTCGCTGACGAGCTGGCGGGGCCCCATGTACATCTGCAGCGCGGGAGGCCATGTCCGCGAAGCCCCCTAGAGAGTCGCTGAAGGCGGTCGGGGAGCCCGCCTCCAGATCCCGCTCCATCATGGAGCCAGAGCGCGACGCTCTTCCTTAGCCTTCCTGATCTGCTTAAGGATTCCAGCGTCACGCTCGACTTGCTTGGCCACGTGCTCCAGTAGTGCCGGAGCCACCATCATGCGGCCGTCCTCGCGAGCGGTGCCCGTGAAGACCCCCACCTCATCCACGAAACCGAACTTCAAGAAGCCACCGCCGGCCCGGCTCTTGGGCTTGCCCTTCGCCTTCGCCTTGGGCTCGCCGTCGGCCGGGCCAGCAGCGTAGGCGCCCGAGTCGCGCGCCTCGTACTCCATGGCATACATGTATTCGTACAGCTGCGCCTGCCGCAGCATCACCTCGACGCCCACCACGTTGGGCAAGTCGAGGAGGTCCCACGTCATGAGGTAGTCGACCATCCGCATGATGGACTCGTAGTGCGTGACCCCGAAGTCATCGCGGGACAGCCGATAGTAGGACACAAACTGGTGGAAGTGCTCGATGGCTCCCCCGCGCTTCCTGTCCAGGAAGCGGAGGCACCATAGTGTGGTCCTCGGGCCGTCCAGCGGCCAGTCGGGGAAGGGCTCTTCGCGTAGTCTGTCGACACTCTCGTGAAACTGCACGCGCTGCCTCGAGCCGTCTCCAAGCAGGGCCACGGGTTGGAGGCGAGCATCGGCGAGGGCTTCGGCGCCACGGTAGGCAGCCTGCGAGGTCGTGATCCGACGGATGGCCGACCAGCTCCCGCCGGCATCCTGCTTCAAGCCGATCGCCCCCCGCACGAGCTCAGTCCCGTCCAACGTGACCGGGTCTCCGCGTCGGGCCGTCGTCGTGGTCTCAACGTAGACCCATTGCCCGTCAGCTCCAGGAACGGCATTCGGCCCCAAGGGACCTGGGGGAGCCCCTGCAGCGGCGAGCGGTGCGGCGGCTGCCGCCACTGGGGCAGCTCCAGCAGGCGGCACTGCCGCGGGCGCGGCGGGGCCAGCCGGTACCACAGCCAGGGCGGCGGCCACAGCAGCCCCTCCCCCGGCGGCGGGGGCGGCGGGTGCGGGCCCAGGCGCGGCGGCGTCACCAGGCACGGCACCGAACGTGAAGTACACGGCAGCCCCGCGGGCGGCACCACCCCGGGCCGCCCGGCCGCGCGCTCCGCGTCGAGGAACATGTCGCGGGCGTAGGCGTCCACCTCATTCCTGATGGCCACCTCCTCTGCCGCCGTCAGCGCCCGCCGGAAGCGGTAGAGGTTCCCGACGTCCAGGCCAGCAGGCCGAGTGCGACGGTCATCCTCGAAGCGAACCGCAGCCAGCGTCCCATCCGACATGTCGTACAGCTCCTCGTACACGTCGCCATCCGGCGTCGAGATCAGCACTCGCAGCGGGGACCACGGGACGTCAGTCGGATCCTGAATCACCCGGCCCCACACGCGCCGCTGATGCCACAGCTGCGCGCCTGCGTACTGCGCCCATGCCCAGCGTCGCACCCCCGGCGGCGCCGGCTCCTGTGCCATCCTTCAGGGCGGCGGGCGTCGGAGCCGGTCGCAGCTTCACCACGGCCGAGCCGACCAGCCTCACCCCGTGGAGGCTGAAGACCAACAGGTTGAGGGCGACCAGGAGGCAGGCCAGCCACCCGCCTGCCCAAGAGAGGCCTTCAGGCTCCTGGGCGGCCGGCTGGGGCGCGGGCGCGGGCGCCGGCGCCTCTGGAGCCGCCGGGCAGGCGGCGGGCGGGTGGAAGTGGATCGGCGCCGCCGCTGGGCAGGCTGGGCACGCCGCCGGCTGCGGGCACGCAGGGCACGCCGGGCAGCGGGCCGACCAGCTCACGACCGTCTGCGAGACGGTGCCGACGAGCCAGTCCAGGTACCGCTGCCCAAACAGCCAGGCCATGTGAAGCGGGGATGCGTCCCCCGGCGCCTCTGCGCCGGTGTCAGCTTGAGCACAATCGGTAGCGGGCGTGCAGTGACGCGCGGCCCCTTGTCCTCAAGGCACTCTCAGAAAAGATTCACATGCACGCATTGCCATACATACATATATATAGTTATATGGGCCACGAAAGGCAGCGAGGGGCCACTGAGGGCACCATCGGGGCCGCGAAGGGCAGCGACTGGGCCACAAGGGGAGGGGCCACGAAGGGCAGCAATGAGGCACAAAGGGCGCGAGCGAGCATGGGGCACGAAGGGTATGACCCTGACGGGCGGGCCGAGCGGGCGGATCGATCGTGACTTCTGCGTGATTCGCCAGGAAGTTTCCAGGGAGAAAGCGACTTCTAAGTTCATTTGAGGAAGTCCCCAGCGAACGCGCGGTTCCTGAATGGCAAGAGCGCGGCGCCTGAGTAAACTGCGACGAAGTCTCAGGCGGGAGCGCGATTCTTGGGCAATTGCAAGGAAGTCTCAAGCGGGAGCGGGGGACCGGAGCAAATTTCGAGGAAGTCTCAAGCGAGAGCGGGGGAACGGAGTAAACTTCGAGGAAGTATCAAGCGGGAGCCGCTGTTGTTGTAAACCGGGGGCCAGGGGCACAGTTTGAGGAGAAAGACTTTCAGGAGGAAGACTTTCCCTGATAAAAAAAAAAAAAAAAAAAAAAAAAAAAAAAAAAAAAAAAAAAAAAAAAAAAAAAAAAAAAAAAAAAAAAAAAAAAAAAAAAAAAACGGATGCGAGCGCCGGGAGGGGCACGTCAATTGAAAAATACAATGTGCACCAGAGGGGGGACCTACATTGATAATTATTTTGTAGTGTGGGTTCAACAACAACAACAACAACAACAACAACAACAACAACAACAACAACAACAACAACAACAACAACAACAACAACAATAATAAGTTTAAGACTGATCGCCCTTACATGCTCGAGTGTCCAACAACGCGATATTTCCCAAACCCTCGATACCCGCACTCTTCGTCTTCGATCGAACCCGTTTTGGGGGGTATACCTTTCTTCCCTGCAGGCCGGGCCCCAGCAAGCGGCAGGGGCTGATCGGCAGGGGCGGCCGCGGACCGTCGACCCGACCCCAAGAGGGACGGACAGGGGACCGACCACGACGACGACGACGACGACGACGACGACGTCGAAGACGACGGCGACGACGGCGACGACGAGCGAAAGCGAGAGCGAGAGAGAACGACAGCAGGGCCACGAAGGGCACGAAGTAGGCCACGAAGGGCGACAGCGGGGACACGAAGGGAATGCGTATGGGGCCACGAAGAGTGCGAACGAGCGGGGGCCACGAAGTGCAGATAATGCGGGGCCACAGAAGGCAACTACGGGGCCACTGAGGGTAGCAACTGGGCCACGTAGGACAATGAGGGGGACACAATTGGCGACAGCGGGGCCACGAAGGGCATGCACATGGGGCCACAACGGGCGCGACTCCTGGGTGCCTGGGTGTCGGGAGCGCAGCGCTTGGGCAAATTGCAAGAAATTCCAACGCAAGGCTATTCTTCCGTAAGTTGCAAGCAAGTCTCCAGCGAGAGCGCGACTCCTGAGCTCTGGGAGAGCGATTGCTGAATAAATTGCAAGGAAGTCCCAAGCGAGAGCGCGTTTCCTGAATAAAATGCGAGGAAGTCTCGGGCGGGAGCGGGGGTCCTGCCTAAATTGCAAGAAGTCTCAAGCGGGAGCCGTTGTTGTTGTAACTCGGGGGCCAGGGGTCCAGTCTGAGCAGGAAGACCTTCCCTGTCAAAAAACAAGGTGCGAGCGTCGAGGGGCACACTTTGATTGAGACAAACAGTATGCACCGGTGGGGGGGATCAGCAATAATTATTCTTCAGAAATGAGAATTCAACAACATGTTAAGTCTGTTCGCCCCTATCTGCTCACGTGCCAACCAATACGTATATCCCAAGCCCTCGGTACCCACCCTCGTTGTTTTCGATCGCATCCCCTTGGGGGTATGTCTTCCTTACCTGCCACGTGCATTCTGGGCACCCCTCAAAACAAGAGAAGTGAGAACGGGTGGAAGGGGGACGAAGAAGGAAAGAGCACGAGAGAAATCAGCAGGAGGGGGCAAGGAGAAGAAAACAAGTGGTAGAACCAGACGGGCAGATCGGGTGGGCAGACCCATAGTATGCAGGTCCGAAGGCGGGCCCAGACGACGAGGTCGAGCAGGCGGGTTGCTGAAGCGTGGGTCCTGCATGAATCGCGAGGAAGTCTAGAGCGATAGCGCGATTCCCAAGTAAAGCGTGAAAAGTGCCAAAGTGAGAACGTGATTCCTGAGCGCCGAGGGCGCATCGTCTGAATAAAGTGCGAGGACGTCCCACGCGAGAGCGCGATGCGTACATGAATTGTAAGGAAATCCCGTGCGAGAGCGCGACTTGAGAATAAATTGTGAGAAAGTCTTAGGCGGAAGCTGCTGTTGTTGTAAACCGGGGGCCAGAGGCCCAGTTTGAGCCTAGTGACTTCCCTGATAAAAAACGGTTGCGAGCCTCGGGGGAAGAACTTCAAACGAAAAAACAATGGTCATCGTCAACCACAACATCAACAGCAACAACCACAACAACGATAGCAACAACCAACAACAAACAAACAAACAAACAAACAAAAACAACAACAACAACAACAACAACAACAGCAACAACAACAGCAGCAGCAGCAGCAACAGCAGCAGCAGCAACAGCGCAGCACAACCATAACAACAACCACAACAACAAAGCAATAGAAACGACGACAAGAACAATAACAACTGCAACACCACTGACAACAAAAACAATAGCAAGAACAACAACAGCAACAACAACAACTATTATTGCTACTACTACTACTGCTACTACAGTTTAAAGTGCTTCGACAACGACAACGACGACGACAACACCCACAACAACCAGAACAATAACAACAACCACAACAACAGCAACAACAATTTCGACAACAACGACAACAACAAAAACAGCAACAGCAACAGCAGCAACAACAATCATCATTGTAAGACTGTTCGCGTTTGCTGGCACGCGTGTCTTGCATTCTGTATACCCCAAACATCGATACCCGTCCACTTCGTCTTCGATCGCACCCCCCTCCTTTGGAATCTGCCTTGTAGGCCACTGACTGATGTGCGATGTACTCTCGAGCGAGAGCGTCGTTCCAAAAATCGGGAGCCTCTCTGGTCAGTGGTTCTCGGAACTCATATTGGGAAGAAATCGAACGGGAGCCCTTGTCGCCGTGCCTCGGCCTCCACCAACTTGCCTGAATGACCAGAAAGTCTCGAGCGGGAGCGCCACTCTTGAGTTCGAGTCTCTCTGGGCAGGGCCTCTGGGAATACACCTTCAGGAATCATCGAACGAGAACCCTTGTCGTCGTAGTTGGACCTCCTGACTGACGACAAAGTCTCGAGCGAGAGCACCGTTCCTGAGTTCGGGGGCCTTCCTGGCCAAGGGCTCTCGGACTAAATCGTGAGGAAGTATCGTAGCAAAAGTCCTTGTCGTCGTGGTTGGGCCTCCGCCAACTTGACTGAATTGCCAGGACGTCTCGAGCGAGAGCGCCGTTCTTGAGTTCGGGGGCCTCTGTACGTGTTTCGGAAAAAGTGTAGGGAAATATCCAGCAGGAGCCGTTGTCGTTGTAGCCTGGCGTCAAAGGGTACACATTTACAATCAAACCCGCGCTCGAGCGGAGGCCTCGTTTTAAGAGGAATTGCAGCCTGCATCGAGGCGAGGGCGCGCGGAATCGTCTCCAATGACCAACGATAACAATGCTCTAGAAATGAATTTTCAACAACAACAACAACAACAACAATCATTTTACCCGAACGCTCAGTGTTCTCCCCAGTGCCAGGGTTTTCTTGCGACACCAGCCAATACCCCCACTTCGTGGGGGGGCCGTTCAAGCTCTACCAAATATCCAAACGACTCTTCGAGACCACCCACACCCAGCTTCCCGCCCTATGACGTTGGGACACTTCACTTCGTGGCGTGCGGACGACCCTGGCTACTACACTGGCGTGGGGTACACACCCACAGAGGTTGATCACATCTGTTACATATGATGTGGTACACGGTACACGTGAGATGGTACGCAGTGCCAAGATAGTTGGTCACATTTTTGGGGCAAATTCGTGGGGATGCGATTACAGAAGTACATGTGTTACACTGATGTTATACAGTCCCAAGGATGACGCATGCATTGCTCATAGACTCATGGCGCTATGATCCTAACTCTCAGTGCCCAACGCGCGCGTGCACAGCCAGACGGAGGGAGAGAAACACATGTATACAAGGTTCGTGACATACGCACGGTCCACCATGTTGTAAACGATCGCATGCACGGTAAGTTCTGAAATTATACGTATGTACAAGCAGACATGCGAGGGAGAAAGGGAGATGGCCATCGACAGTTCCAATACGGCTCCAAGGCGGAAGAGGGGGAGGAGGAGCAGGACAAGGAGGAAAGGAGAGAAGCGAGAAAGGAAGAACGCAGACGGCGCGGCTCTGGACACAAAGGGGTGCCATACTTTCTCCTGCTTTCGCAAACAGGTCCAGTCACACGTAGGGGTATACTCAACCGAATGGTCTTCGCATCCAGAAGCATACTAAAGGCGCGACGCATCGTCGTCTGCGATGGCGCGGAGCGGGCGCGTGGGTGCCCGGCTGCCTGGCTGATACACGTGCGGGCCTGGCTGATACCCGTGCGGTCCCAGATGCCCAATGAGATTGCCGATACGCCTGCTGGCGGGAAGGCCGGTGCTTGCATACGGCAGTGCTACCGCGAGCACGTTGTGGACCTGCGGTGGCAAGGCCTGGTAATCGAGCATGTTCGGAAGCTCGTCGCTCTGACCATACGACCGCCATACGGGCAACCACCACCACTGGTCTTGACGCGGATACGTGATCTCTGTGCCGACCTCAGGATTTCGACATGCGCGCGCGGCGGCCGCGCGCATGTGCACTTCGTCTCATTTTTTGC